ATACTGTAGCAGTCAGATATTAGACTCGAAGCCAAACTTATACTTAATGTTAATTATCAAAGGCTGGGATGACGAAGCAACGAAAGTTCATTATGTACCGTTCGAGCATGTATTGCCACATTCATATTTATTTGTGAGTCCACTAGACAAAAGCGCATTGAGTTGGTCATAGATCAAGTCAAATTCCAAAGTTGAATTAAAAAATTAAGGGAAAAATCTCACAAATTGCACTCCAGCATGGCCAAGCATTGGGGAAAGGGCACCAAATATTCAAAGGGTATTTGATTAGCTTTCCTCTAGAAGAACGCGTTTTTGCCAGGGTCTGTCGAAGAAAGCCCCAAATCCTGAAGCGTCATCCCTTAGTTTAGACCGAATGACGAACTTAAGGAATTGATTTGATTTAATTAGATTAGTGAATAAATTTTGTGAGATCAAGAAGGTTATAAGGAAATGATTAACATAGCTACATTTAAGAATTAGTGATCCGATGAATAAAGCTCGCATAATGACAGCAAAATATGAAGTGAATGGTTGCTAGTCCAATGTGTTAAATAGCTATCGATATGGGAGGCATACTAAATCATAATCTGACCTCTTGACACGCGAGCTTCAAATGGAATTGGTTCTTTCCCCGTAAAAGCATCCCTTTTAGTGCCACTGGAATTCATCCCAATTCGCCGATATGAGGGGTCAAGTATGAGGTCAATCAATTGTCGTTCCACCTCGTCCTGGTGATCTGGAAGCATGCCTGACTCAAGGACAACTGGGGAGACCATTGTCAGCCGATCGGAGTCCCTGTTGATCGTTCGGCTGGCCAGTGCGCCTCGGGCCATTGAAATAGTCTCGTCAGCACTGGGCATTGCCATTTCAGGAACGGTATAGTCAAGGTCCCCGCTAATATGGGTTGTCCAAGGTGTGGTTGAGACATCGGAAGATGTCTCAATTTGACAATTTGATCGAGGCGTTCTTTGCGGAGAAAAAGAGCTGCTCTTTAGACAATCCCTCTCGGCTACATCATTAACATTCTGCACTACCGCACAAGCTAGGTCATCCACGACATTAAAAATTCTCTTCTCCATTCTTTCAAATTTTGCCAGATTATTTGATCGTTTAGATTCGGATGAACGAGTCAATCGTGAGGAACACGGGGGCTTGCGACATGGTGTGGACGTGTGGTTATTTGTCAGTTTGTTCGGGGCCGAGGAAAATCCGTCGGCTGTCCAACTCGACTCATCGCCTTTAGTGAGTAGATTAAACAA